TCTGTCAATATGGGGTGCTGTGTGTACATTAATGAGGAAAAAAAATTAACTTAAATGATTTTAGCAAATGTCTGCAATATAACAAAGAGTGAAAAATTTAAGGGGGTCTGAATACTTTCCGTACCCACTGTATATGCAGGTTTATTTTTGAGGAGTTTCTCTCTCTTGGTTTTCTTCCCTATTGCCTTTTGTTAGTGTGAATCGCGGTGTTTATTGTGGATAATATGGTTTTGGCTTGTGGTTGAAGTTGTGTATTTGATCTCTGCAAGTTTTAACAGTTACTTGAGATTTTAAGTTGTTGTTTTAGTCTAAAAACAAACTTAGCTTTTAGTACGTTTTAACGTATTGGCCTAAAAGTGATAGAACATTTATCACTTTGTGGTCAAAAATACAGCGTACATCCACGTTAAAACTTAGTCAAGAATTATGTTTGGTTGAATCAGTGAATAGAATGATATCTCCCCTTTTCATTTAAAACTGATTTACTCGTTGATTTACTATGAATTTAAAGTTAATATTTTTTTTTTCGTCCAATGTCTGTGAGGTCATCCGGTTTCAGCACCACAAGTCTGGACAGCGCCAGAACTGTCTGTTGTATTTTATCTTTGATTGCGTGACAATTTTCAGTTCTTTCCCAATATAAATATAGCTACACAATTATATAACTTATCTTACAATAAAACGAGCTAACAAACATGAGACTTTACTTGGTTGATCACTGTAATCTTTTCAATAAATATATTAATGTTGCAATGAACAGAAAAATACTCACAGCGTCGCTATTCACCAAGTGTGCAGACTGATGCGTCTCTCCTCCCACACCTAATGTATGCAATATGAGCTCTGTCTATCAGAATAAGCGCCGCACAAAATGGAGTAACAGTCCGTCGACAAACATAGAATTATAATATCATTCGTCAAAGATTCGCTTACTGTTGAGAAGGTGCAATATCAAATCTTCAAAAATGGAATACAGGTTATTTTTACGTCCTTTCTTTGCGTTTTTCGTGGCTTTCATTATGTTTCCTCTGAGATCTGTCTGTGATGACCTGAGCTACAATATTCCGGAAGAAACGAAGCGCCAGTATGTGATTGGAAATATAGCCAAGGATCTCAGGATGGATGTGAAACAATTATTTGCTCGAAAGGCTCGGATAGACAGTGAGGACAGCAGCAAACGGTACTGTGATATTAATCTGAATACTGGTGATTTAATCGTGGCAGAGACAATAGACCGAGAAGAGCTTTGTGGATCTCGAATGTCCTGTATTGTCAGTTATGAGCTCGTCCTGGAAAACCCTCTTGAAGTCCACCGTATAATTCTGCAAATTCAGGATATAAATGACAACGCACCACGATTTACAAATGAACGTATTCACTTTGAAATCAGAGAATCAGCAGTTAAAGGCCAGCGATTTCGTTTGCATGAGGCTCATGATTCAGATATCGGGAATAACGCACTCAATGGTTATTCCCTAGATAAAAATAAGCATTTTGTTTTAAATGTTCATGATACTGCAGATGGGGGAAAATACGCTGAACTCGTGTTGGAAAAGGAGTTGGATCGTGAAGAGCAGAAGGAGATAGATATGATACTCACAGCCACTGATGGTGGTTCACCGCAGAGGTCTGGCACTGCTGTCATACACATCACTGTTCTCGATGCTAATGATAATGTCCCAGTGTTTAGTGAGTCTGTTTATAAAGTCACCCTGGCTGAAAATACACCTTCAGGAACAGAAATAATCCGAGTGAGCGCCACTGATGCTGATGAAGGTCCAAACGGGGAAGTGATTTATGAATTCAGCAGAATTTCACATAAAGCTGCCAAATTATTTTCTATTGATGAGACAACAGGGCAAATTATGGTGGTTGGAGAAATTGATTATGAAAATGAAAAAAACTATGAAATGGGGATCCATGCTCAGGATGGTGGTCTCCATAGTGGAGAGATCAAAACACAACGAGACATTTCTGAATCTGACAATATGAAGCAGAACCTTGTTATTTCGGTGAAGGATAATGGACAGCCCTCTCTGTCTACGACCTGTGCTGTAAATTTACTAATTTCTGACAACCTTTCTGAAGTTCCTGAACTTAAAGATATGACTTATGAGGACAACAACTCTAAATTAACGTCCTACTTGATCATTGCATTAGTTTGCGTGTCCACCTTCTTCCTGACGTTCATCATATTGATCGTGGCAGTGAAGTTTTGTCACAAGAGAAAGCCCAGACTGTTGTTTGATGGAGCAGTTGCTGTTCCCAGCGCCTATCTCCCTCCCAATTATGCAGATGTGGATGGAGCAGGAACTCTCCGCAGCTCTTACAATTATGACGCGTATCTAACCACAGGCTCGCGCACCAGTGACTTTAAGTTTGTGAGCTCGTATAATGCAAACACGCTTCCTGCTGGTGCGACTCTGAAAAAGGAGCACAATATTCAATTTGGAACCAGCATGATAACACTTGACGTTACAGGGAATGAAGATGAGGTAAGAGAGGCTATTTATTACTTTATTTATTTTTAATAGTATTTCCATTGATAATTTCAGCTACTTTACTGTTTAAGGCGGTTGTTGTTTAAACATTTTTAGGTGCATAATTCATGAAAACCTCACACTTTATTATTTTGTATGATATTGCTATCACTCCTAGTATTTCTGCATTTCTTTTTAGCTTATAGAACACGTTTGCCACTGATATAGAGAAAACTGTTTATGGACCAAATTATTGGGTCATCAAATTTTGATCTCATGAATTTGTATAGTTTCTGCACGTCATTCAGATTTCTTGGTGTGATGGAATATAATGTTGCCTTCATCAATTATGAAAAAAACAACGGTCTACTTTTGAGGCATTTTTTAATCTTATTTTTGTTCCTTATTGCATTAAGTTTATCCCCACGGCAGTACCAAAGGTTTTTTTTTTTTGTAAAAAAGGTGAATAATATGACCTTGACTAGTAAAACTGTGTATTTGATCTTTGTCTGAATTAACAGTTTCATGGCTTGTTGATACAAGGTTGATTGTATCACTCTAAGGTTGATATATGAGCCCGGTCTCATGAAAATGCGTATAAATAGTACGCCAAATAAAAAGGAAACTCGTGGTATTGATACGCAAAAATTGACTTTGGCGTGCATATGATACGAAATTTGTTGGCATACATATGATACGCAGTTTTTGGGTACATATGATACGCATCTACCCCACAACCCTAAACCTACCCATCGCGTAGCATATACACGCCAAAGTCCATTTTTGCGTATCAATACAACGAGTTTTCGTTTTTATTTGGCGTACTATTTATACGCACTTTCATGAGATCGGGTTGGATATATAGTTACGGTGGTCAAGAGAGCTCAATGCGCTGCAAATGAAGAAAAAAAGAAAAGAAAAAAACCTTGCAAATAGAAAAAAAAAATACAACTGCAAATACTCACAACACACACACACACACACACACACACAAAAAGGCGCGCTTCCCTTAAACATTTCCGATATGGTCTGTGCATATTTGCAGCGTGTTTCGGTTTTTGTTTGTTTGTTTTGTATTTGCATAGCGTTTGTTTGTGTTGTGAGAATTTGCATCGCGTTTATGTATTTGTTTGTTTGTTTTGTATTTACAGCGTTTCTTTGTTTGTGTTGTGAGAATTTGCAGCGCGTGTGTTGTCAAATTGATGAAGATGTCTTCTTAATTCGCAGGTGTTTTTTTCTATTTGCATGTGTTTTTTTCATTTGCAACGCTTTCAGCTCTCTCGGCCACCATAGGATAGTAAAATGTACAACATTTAAAACCTACTAAAGAACCAAGTTTAGTTGAAATGGTGAAAAAGACATTCATTACTAGAACGGATTTACTTATTTATTTAATATAAATTCAGGGTTACATCAGTATATTCTCAACCAGTCTGTCTTTGAGCTTATTTAGTTTCAGCACCACAAGCATGGACACCGCCAGCACTGACTGTTGTATTTTTTTCTCTGAAGACGTGACGTCTTTCACTTTTTTCCCTGTATAATAATTTTAAATTTATTGAAATTTAAAATAATAATTTTAAATTTAAATTTAAACTGTATAATTTATTGAAAAATAACACGTAAAAAAAAAACAGACGTATTCTGGTTCCTACCCGTTGTCTTTTCATGCAAGACGCAATGAGCAGAAAATACTCACAGTGTCGCTATTGACCAAAAATGCAGACTGTGTCTCTCCTCCCACACTTAATGCAAGCAATATGAGCTCTGTCTGTTAGACTAAACGCCGCACAAAATGGAGTAACAGTCCGTAGACACCGACAGAATTAATGGAATATCATCCGTC